AACTGACCTCCTAAAGGAAGCCACAGGCTTGAGTTTACAAGAGCTGAGCAGAGCTATGCTTTTTCATACGGTTGCCATATGTTGGAGGCAACTTGAGAGCACATGTTTAGGTGAATTGGCAGACGGGTTCAAATGATGAGTTTTCTACACTTTACTCTAAAATCCCTTAAAATTTTAGCTAGTTTTTAAAGGAAACTCATACCATTTCCCATTGTTTACATCTCTTTTGCTAAACTTTATGTTCCTATAACAACACAATGGTATTTGTAGGGAAAAGGAAGCTACTTCAGCCTTTGTTTGTCATATAGAATAAGTTTCTAAATTACTTTCTCCTATTTGCTGTAAGGCTTTCACTTTGATCTGTTAATTCTTTGAGATGGTTAACAGGCCCTTCCCTAAAAGAAAGGAAAAACCTACGAAAATACTTCTGTTCCTAAAATCACTATTCATTTTCTGTAGTTTTTATCATATTGCTGGGAGTTAGCTTCAGTTTTTCTAGGGTTCTTACTAAACTTCTACAAAAGCCTACAAACCCTTCATCCATTCATTCAAGGTGTCTCAAGGGGGTTCACAGTATTAAAAACAATAGAATTAAAACCACAGCGACATATACCTTAAAAATAATTAAACTTCAAAACTGATTAAATTACACTGAATAATTAAAACAGTAAAACATTAAAAACTATCTTAACTTAAAAAATGACATTCACAGATTGTTAAAAGCCTGCCTGAAAAGGTGGATCTTCAGCTGCCGATGGCAGGATAAAAGGGAGGGGGGGCAAATTCACCTTCTGAGGGAGAACATTACATAACCTGGGAGCAGCCACAGAGAAGGCACCCTTTCATGTCTCCATCAACCATGCCTGCACTGGCAATGGGATCAAGAGGAGGGCATCATCAGCATACTGGTGACACTGAACCTCAAAACACCAGACAACCTCTCCCAGTGGTTTCATGTAGATGTTTAAAAGTATGGGGGTGGGGGGACACCAAACCTTGGGGTGTGCTACAGACCAATGGCCAGGGCATCAAACAGGAATATCCAAAGTCACTAAACGTGCTTCCGAATCCCATTCCAGAGAGATGGTCCAAAGAGGATACAGAAGGATTCTTCCAACATCCTTAAATAACAGCTTGAACAATTCCAATGAGCTAACTTATACCTTTTATAACTCTATACATCTCAGCAAAGGTTACCATCTCAAGGTCCCCAAGGAGTCATTTCTCAACGGCTTCAACTCTTTTATTTCCCTCCAGCTTGTGCTGCCCCTTTAGTTAAGTTGTGACAGGTCACTAAACACAAAATTGCCCTTCTCTGCCTCCTGGGCTCAATGCAGAAGGACCCAGTCCTCTACTCAAAATTCAACAACATGGCACAGAAGGTAAAAAACAAAAAACAAAGATCCCATGAGCATAGAGTGAACAAAAAGATCCTGATGATCTAGCTAGTTTACCTCCACTGCTAAGTAAAAGATTTAGATGGGTTTCACAGCACCGTCTAGATCTTACAGCATAATAGTCAACTAAGAGACCAACTTTCCCTGCTGTCTTTGTGCATGGGGAAGGAAGCAAATTTTCCTGTTTATTTAGTATGGATGCAAAGGGCACAAGTTGAAAAAAATATAAAGTAATGACCAAGTAAGAATCATAATGTATTTCAGGTTAAAAATTTCAGATTCCCTGTATCCTAAATACACTACAGTACTAAGAAATATATACCATGGAAATCAGTTTCAAAATAGTGTGTTTAGGACTGAAATGAGAATTAATAAACCAATTCAAACCTGTTTCAAGTTTCCTATACTGTATTTCATAGAGTTCTGTCTGTACTTTCAACTGGATCAAGCAATCCTGGGCCTCCCCACTGTGTCAGAACCAATGTTGCTGTTGCTTGCTGACATTAGAAACTATTTACATGAAAAGCACAGATATGCTACAGTTGCCACTCAACTTATTGTTCCTGCAGACCTGCCCAGAACACAGCTTATTACTTACAAGGAATCCTAAATGTGCACAGTCCCAAGATTTCATTAATTCAAAATTAATTATTTGAAGAGTCAAACCATTTTCTGGAGATGTTTTAATACATACATTTTCTTCTCTCTGTTTCTTTGGCAACATTTCCTTCTAGTGTATTGCTGTTGCAAATGTACATATTTAATTAAAATGAACCTTTGGGAAGTTCTTGCATGTAATATACTGCAGTAATCACGCGCACACACACACACACAGAAATGTGAAGAAGTATATCTGAGGTGCAGTACCAGATTGAACCCCCACAGGCAATACTGAGCTATTTCCCCTCCATTAATAGATCCACATCAAAAATTTCAAGATTGCATATAAAATGACTTTAAAACAACCTGTCCCATTTTCCCTAGTACCATTAGATATATTACTTATGTTTCCTTTCTCTCAAAAAGGCCTTTACAGTTGGTGGAAATCAAGATAATTGCCATGATTCAGAGCAATTTGTTCAAATAAATATAATACAGCTATTTATAAATAAGATTTCAGCATTCCGCAGCTGAGCGCAGCAAAAGCTAATACAAATTATCCACTAGTACAGGAATATCTGATTTGGGCCTTCCAAATCATATATAAAAATCTATTCCTTTCAAACAGAAGGAATGTAAGAACTAACATTCAGACACAGTAGATGTACCTACTGTTTATACACTTTCCAGGTCTAAGTGCTTAAGATATTCTATAAGGAATACCACTTGGTAATCATTTTTTTCAGCCAACTACCTACAGTTTTAAAGTGCATCTGTCCTTTGGCAAACACAAACACAGCATAGTCCACTTCTTCATTTTCAAAGCCCTCTTATATAACAGACTGCAAAAACACTACCTTTTGAAGACACTGTCAAGATGGAATCTCATGTTTCTATATGGCAGGACTCAGAACAAGCTAACTGCTCCCCCAGTATAACCCCTCATTAGGCTCATTGGATATGCTTAGTCTATGTGAAGTTCACTCTCAGGTGTGTTGCTTTTAGAACAGTATTCCTTTGAAAGCCCTGAAAAGGTGAACCCAGTCACACCTAGAAGAGCAATTGTCCTAGATTTCCAAAGAATCAGGTAAAGATTTACCACAAATATCATAATGTCTTTCATATTTTTCATGTTAACTGAAGAAGATTCATTCATACTACCTAAAGCCACCAGGGGACCCAAGGGCCAACAAATAAACTATTTGCATAGCATAAACGCTCTAATCTATTTTCTGACAAATTGGACATAAATTAATCTTTCCAGACAGTATCTCAGCATAACTGAAAGTAACCAATCAAATGTTGTATTCCTTGCATAGAGTTGACAGAAAGTAGATAGGACATGATTGCGGGCCTTCTTTTCTCCTACAAATGTTGCTCAGGCTGAGTATTTAGATATTCACAGATACTGTATTCAGGTTGCCTTTCCACCATGAAAGGATACATTGTTTCTCACAGATCATCTTATACATATGTGTCTTTTTTTAAAAAAAAATGGAAAATCTATACTGTATCATAATTTTTTTCTTGCAAATAATCACAAACACACCAATCCACAAGAGATGTGAAACTTTTACTTTCCCAGGTGATTTCTCTATGAAATTGTACTCTGTTCCCTGTTTGTAAAAACCTGTCCCTGCAGTTCATAAAAGTTGATAGCTGGCAATTTGCTAACATGCCTATCAATCATTTTCTAATTATCTGTAGATAGCTACCACAAACTTTTCTGGACCAGATGAACTGCTAAGGATGCTCATATATGTCTTAGCTAAGCAAAACCCTCCTTTTAACATTTAAAGCATATTAATTTTCCCCTGCTTCCCAAGTAGGGGAAAATTTTAAAAAAAAACAAAAAACCAATAACTTTACCCTGTTCCCAATAGAGCTCCTTTGGGGAAGATTTCTCTAAGATTCCCAGCAAAAGCTGGATGTGTGAACCACCATTAAGTGTCTAGTCTGCTGCACCTCCTCTGTAGCGACTAGAGTCACAGCGGAGGCTAGATTAGAAAGCAATCGATGCAAGCACATTACACACCAGAAAAGGGGAAAGGAAGGGGGAGAGAAAATGGATCGAACGAGAGGCATCTTTCCTTTCAGTCATTAATTATAAATCAGCCAAATATCAAGAAAGACCTTCCACGGACAGTGATGCAAGAACCCCACCCCCTCCTCCCAATTCATAGGAAGAGAAAAAGTACACGCCCGAGAAGCTGGGTATGATTTTGGGGGGGGCACCCCCAAAAACAACACACTATTTGAAGATCCAAAATAGAGAAGGGCAAGGTGGTCAAAGGCTCCACCAACACCCCTCTTTCCAATGCAAGGAGAAGACGCACACATGGATATATATATACGTATATATATGACTAAGTGCTTCTAGTCGGTTCTACGCACAATGTATTCGCAACACAGGAGGAGACGATCATGGTCCACAGCAGACTCAATGGAAGCGGGGGGGGGGGAAGCTATTTCCCAGCCGCCCTTTTGCCTTGCCTTGCCTTTCCTCTCCCGCTTCCCCCCGGTATACATTTATGACTTCACTGCTCTAATGAGTGTATTATTGCAGGGTTGGTAGGGAAGCCGAGTTGCTGCCGATGCCCTACATAAGCAAGCGAGGAGGCGTATAAAGAAAGGGGGTGGGGAGATGAACGGCGAGGCAAGGCAAGGCAAGGCGCCGACACCAAGGAGCCACTTTCGCAGCCTCGCTCGCGGAGCTCCGGAAAGATCGCCCAACGAGACAAAAAAATAAACGTTTATCCTGGCGGGCCAGGGGGACGCTCCATCCAAACACAAAGGAGGATTTTAAGAAAAGACACGGGAGGGGGATGCGGGAGAGAAGGAAGGAGGGAGGGAGGGAAAGAGGGAAAGAGAGAGAGAGAGAGACCTTTGCAATGCGGGCCCCTCCTCCTCCCAGAGGCAGCCCCCTCTGCACAAGGAAAAAAAAAAGGAGAAAACCTGGGCATCATCCATGATGCTCCTGCTGCTGGCAATCGCACCACTCACCCAGCGCCGTCGCCCCTGCTTGCTGTTTCCCGAGCATATACCAATAACAAAAGGCAAATCCTCAAGGCGGACTGGAGGGGAGGGAGGTGGCTGCTGCGCCTCCCGGGCTTCTTCAGTGCAAGGTCCTGACCTTGCCCAGTTGCAGCATCTTGCCTTGCCGCTGTCGTCGTCCTCGTCCTTTTCGCCGCCGCCGCCGCCGCCGCCGCCTCCTCCTCCCCCCGCTTCTTTGACAGCGAAACGGGCGCCGGGCGCCGGCGCTGCTGCTGAGGAAGGCTTCGGCGGAGGCTCCAAGGCGGGCTCCTTCATACACCAGCTGGCTCCGAGAGGCTGGCTCGCTCTCGCTCTTGTTCGCTCACCGACGTCTGGATCGTTTTTTTCCCCCCTCCTCCACCACCCCCTCCTCGATCTCTCTACAGGCTCAGCCGCGGCGCTCTGTAGGACGGCCACCTCAGCTTGGCAACCTTCCGCTGCTGGAGAAGATACTGTGACAGCTGCTGCTGCTGCCGCCGCCGCCGCCGCGCTCCCTTCTCCTCCCCTTCCCCAGCAGGAGCGCGCGCGCCTGCTGCTGCTGCTGCTTTTGCTGCTCCTGAGGCCGGGCTGGGGCGGGCAGGCGGGAAATCGAGCAAGGCGGCTGCGCTCTTTTCTCTTTCCCCTCAGCGAAGCGCTGCCGCCACCTGCGCCTGGCGAGGAGGAGGAAGGCGCGCGCGAAGGAAGCGTTCCAATGGCCCTACGCGGGCAAAGGCGGCCACCAGCTCCCGAAGTTAAGACGACAGCACCGGACCCTAAGCTGGGAGGTCAGGGAGAGAAAGCGAGTTAGAGGTGACCCGAAGCCTTTCCTTCACAGAGGTTATTCCCCCCCACCCAACCCACTGAGACGGAAAAAGTTGTCCTCGGCAAAGCGCTGGCTCTTAATTCCGTGCCCGAACAAGCGCGCGCGCACACAAACACACCCCATTGCCCCTGCCGGTCTCCTCTCTGCACGCAACCTCATCCCATGGTGCGGCAATTCAAACGTGCTTCCCGAAGAAACGAGCCAGCGGCCGTGCCCAGGGTGGCGGCTGGGCAGGCTAACAGCTGCCAAGAGCTGAGGTGGGGAGGCGGGAGGCGGTCACCCAGAGGGGCTAATGATGCCTTTCAAAGGTCACGAGCGGAGGTGCTGGAAGGTGCGCGCGAAGGGGATGTGCTCAGAGGAGATGGCGAAGCGGGGCGCCTCAGGATGGCTCCAGGGAGGAAAGATGCGGCCGGTGTCCTTGAATTTCCCCTCAGTCGGGTCTGTGCGCCGCCTTGCACGGAGAGTTCATTCCAGGTTCGGCAGGCGCTGGAATGGAAAGCAATTCAGTCACTTTCTTCCACAGTGGTAACTAGGTTGATTCAAACTGAAGCTCTTCAGATGGAAAACCGCTGAAAGAACAGCCCTCTTCGTTACTAGCTCCTTCCTACGTTGTTCAGACGCCTCATTCCGAGAGGGGAAAAGGCATTATGAATAAGGCAAGCTTTTCCTGACAGGACTGGAAAAGACGCTGAGGAAAAATGGCGGTGCAGATTTTAACTCTTTGGTTCCGTTTATGCAAGGTGTAGGGCGAGGAACTCTTGAACCCCAGACTTGACAGACCTAGAAAAATGGGTTTGCTGCAGTATTTTCTAGAATGCAGTGTTTTAACAAATGTCCTGTGTGTGAGAGAGAACCTCAGCGAATTATGAAGACGTGGTAGTGGTGCGGGGAAATAAGGTCACGTTAGGGTTCGTAGTAAAGTTATTTATGACGGATCGAGTTCTGTCTTGGTTTTATAATGCAGTTCAATTAAACCTTCTTATTAGGAAAGTAATTTTCTAGGCAGGTCGCAAGATACATAGTTATAATAAAGAAATAATCCTTTTGATGCCAAAGTCCATGTTCTGATTTCATTCCAAGTCTAAGTAATTTCATACAAATTAGCAATTAGCAAGCATTCTTCTTAACAAGAGTTGGTTTCCGAATGGTATCGTTCTACTGGTGGTGTAAATTCTGTCTTAATAAATTGCTAGCAAAATCAAATTTCAGAGAAACTCACTACTGCCACCTTTTGCTTGGTGATTTTTCATAATTTCCCCAGCAACATACTCTCCTGCTATTTATACACACAGTTTTGAATAGTGATTTTAAAATTCGTTTGTCTTTATTATTTGTTTGATGTTTCTTTTTCTGGGGTTTGTTTTGTTATGTGAATAGCCCTTCCTCACCCTGTTCGTTTACTCAGAAATGTGTTGCAGTGGCTTGTAAGTCACAAGGCATGAAGCAAAGTCTGAAATAATAGTTACACTTACCTGGAAGTAAACCCTGCTGAATACAGAGTGACTGGTTTGGAAAAAAACATGCATAGGATTGTGCTGGTACATGAATCTATTAATGTTTCTCCATCAGAATCTGCTTCTGGCATGAACACATTCTAAAATATTTATTTCATGTCAGTAGGACTTGTTTCTGTGCAATCTATTTTGGATGTCAGTTCTGTTTGTCATCATGCCAAACCTGGTTTCTTCTGGACTATATTACAGTAATAAGGTACAATGATTACCCTGTCTAGACAAACACATATTCTACACAACTAAGATTTTAATCCTAAATTGACATGTTTGAGAATTGGTCCTACTCAGTCTAGAAGCACTACTATCAAGGTGCATATATGATACTGGGCACCACAAAACTGGATTACAAAACAGCATCCTCTTTCATGTTTTCACACACACTTTCATGGGTAAATATTCTATAGGGAGCAGTTATTATACAAATGCTCAAAATTTGATTTTGCACTATTTTGTTGATCCATATATATATCTCCTGTCCAAATGGTTGTTAGTTAGTTAGATAATTAGTTAGTTAGTATCTTACTAGGAGGTGCTATTCAGTGTGGTGTAGTGGATAAGGTGATGGGCATGGACTCTGGAGACCAGGGTTCAAATCCACGCTCAGCGTATGGAAATTCACTTTGGGACTGGAACTGGTAAAACTACTCCTTAAACATCTCACTTACCTACAAAGTCCTATTAGGATTTGATGACACAAAATAAGAACAAGAAGTACAAGCTGGATTTTGAAGGGGCAGAGGAACTAAAGACCAAATTGTTACCATGCGCTGGATTATGGAGAAAGCCAGAGAGTTCCAGAAAAACATCTACTGCCTCCTGAGAAATATATATGTGGGACAGGAAGCAACAGTTAGAACTGGATATGGAAACACTAATTGGTTCAAAATTGGGAAAGGAGTACAACAAGGCTGCATATTGTCTCCTTGCTTATTTAATTTATATGCAGAATACATCATGTGAAAGGCTGTACTGGAGGAATCCCAAGACAGAATTAAGATTGCCGGAAGAAATATCAACAACCTCCGATATGCAGATGATACCACTCTGATGGCAGAAAGTGAGGAGGAATTAAAGAACCTCTTTATGGCTTGCCCCATGAAGAGCGCAAAAAATGGTCTGAAGCACAACATCAAAAAAACTAAGATCATGTCCACTGGTCCCATCACCTCCTGGTAAATAGAAGGGGAAGATACGGATGCAGTGACAGATTTTACTTTCTTGGGCTCCATGATCACTGCAGATGGTGACAGCAGCCACTAAATTAAAAGACGTGTGCTTCTTGGGAGGAAGGTGATGACAAACCTTGACAGCATCTTAAAAAGCAGAGACATCACCTTGCTGGCAAAGGTCCACATAGTCAAAGCTATGGTTTTTCCAGTAA